AAAAAAAAAAAATTATACTTGCGAAATGAACACCGATTGCATCCCATAGGTAGGAATATGTCTTCGAGTACACTTCCTTACTTTTCAAGAGATCGCGAAATCGTCGAGCACCTCGGGACCAAATTCGGGACCAAATTCGGCGACGGGAGGAGAATGAGCGTTTGATATCTTCCTTGATGTGATTCTTGTTCAGGGTGGTTCGCAGAAACCCCGATCGTCCGTTACAACGCGACTGTTGTACAACAATCGCACAGGTTCGTAGTCTCTCGACCGCGCACGACCGAGACTCGCGACACAGTGAAGCTGAAGCGCCTTTCCGGCGTTGCTAAACGAAAACTGAAACCCGAGAAGTCCTTGGCCGAGCGATAATCGCGAGAAAAAAGATATCCTATGAGCTACGTGACCGTAAATGTAAACAAACCCGCTCGTAGCCTGGGCATTGTCGTCCTCCTCTCCCCCTCCCTCCCCCACCCCTTTTTTCTAAACATCGTCGACTATTCAACGTCGCAGATATGCAGCGCTAAGATAATGCGGCTAACATAAATCAACAATATCTTAATAATATCTGTAATATTGTTGTTGCGTTTCTCTTGTGTGCATCGCGAAGAAATACTGATGAATCTTTCTTGTCTACATACGTTTCCGATGGACCTCGAAATTACGGTCGTTGCGCACATGGAAAATCACGGGGAGCCTGTCACAATGAGATAGTGTTGGGATCTTAGAGGCGATTGTCGTTCTTTACCTCCTGAAGTGCCGCGCGTTTCGACCGGGGTTCCCAAACTCTTTTCGAAACTTCGAGTAGTCCCCTTCCCCCCCCCTCCCCCTCGCCCTTTCCCATCCGCTATTCGCGCCGATACGATTCTGCTTTTTATCCGCCGCGCGATACAAAACATTTGAAAATCGGATTATGTAAATCATGTATACGAGCCTGTCTGTTTAGAGATAAATTCCCCATTGGAGGAAGAAAGAGGAAAAATAAATGATGCAAAAGCTAAAGAAAGCAAACTCGTATACACATATGCAAATATGAGATATATCTTGTAACAGATGTTACAACTTGCACGTGTAAAAATACACGTGTCAAATTGTAAATATATGTGTCCTACGATCTACAATTCGTTTAAGAAATATTCGTTGCTCTCTTTGATGATGATCTGACGCAGTGATCTTTAAAAGTCACTTCTTCGATTGAGCACCAATGTGTTAAGTGGCTCGGCCGATTCTAAGAGGGTTGAAAGACAATCCTATTTCTAATATGACTTATAATAAACATAGAAGGAAGAAAAATTTTAACAAAATTGGATCAGTTGCTGTTGACATCGTTTAATTTTTTTTGTGAGTTTTAAAATAGGATTAATACATAATTCCATGTTAAACCTTCATTACAAAATTATTCATTGACTTAAAATAGTTGACAGCAGATATGCAGCGCTAAGCGGCTAACATAAATCAACAAAGACAATATCTTAATATAATATTGTTGTTACGTTTCTTTTGTAAAACTAGTAAGATGTACTATTATCAATCATCATCTTAAGATAACATATTTAGATATATTAGATATATTTCATCTAACAAATATATATGATTATTTATATATTATGTATTTAATAAATGTTTATACGGACAATAAAAGTATATGAGAAACGTATTTTTAAGAAACGTGTTTTTAATTTAATTGAATTTTTTAAAATTTATTATTACTTATCGATTATTTCTTTTTCTTCTTTTAAATATACTTACTATACTATACTATTAAATATACTTACTATACTATACCACTTTCATTTCTCAAAATCTTATAGTAGCTTTCCCTATTTGCCTAATATAGAAAATTATTGTTTATTCGTTATGGCAATATGCGAATACGTTCGAACAATTGATTTGCGTGTTACGGACTCGTAAGCTTGCTATTGAAAAATAAATATATTTAATACACGAGGGACATGAAACGTATATGTCAGCAGGTGCATTTTTATTTTTCCACGTATCGACATGTAAAATAGATATAAAGCATATTCTCACATTCAAGATATTTTTTCGTTCTTTTCAATGCTGTATCAATACACAATTCACTTATTAAATAAACCAATGTGACAAATGTATAATGATGTGATATTTATACTAATAGAGCTAAATTTACAATAACTCAAACTATTTAGAAATTTGAAAAATATAATTTAAAAACACGTTTCTTATAAATAATTTATAGGAAAAACAGTATAAAATCAGATAACACTGTAATAAAATATTTTATTAAAATGAACAGTATCAGTATATAGCGATTTCGAAAATAGTTTCGAAAATATTTTTACAAATGAGTCCATACGACGTAATAAAATAAATAAACTGTTAAACACCATTAATCTGACAATACTTCTTACATATTTATATGTTCCAATCTTCAAACGTGATCTAATGCAGATAAAATTACCAATCATTACCATCATCAAGATCGTTTCCGTTTTTCAGACTTGAAAATAAGACATCCTTGACCTTGGGTCGAGGATCCTCCTTAATTTTTGTTGGTACTGCCTCTACTTGTCCCAACATCCATTCTAATTCTACAAAGCAAATGGTACAATTATTTCTTTTCTTATTACTTCCTTCTAGATGTTTTATAATCAAGTATATCACCTGCTTCAGTTAGTTTCATGCCGCGAAATTCAAGCGGCCCTACGATTTGTTTTATCATATTTCCATTATGATAAATAAATATTGTGGGAAGATTGCTATCGGGCCAATTGGGGATACAAGTGGTTGAGATACTTTTCAAGAATTTAGTGGCAGGAAACTTTCTTGCTAAACTCGCAAGATGCTGATTGACTAGAGTACAGAGTGGAATGCTGAAAACATATACTATAAGTTGATTTTGTCGCCATATTCATGGTTAATCATTTATGCTGCTTTCATTATACCCAGATTTGTAAAGATGTAGAATAACCCAAATATCATCTCCGGCATTGTTGACTTCTTTAACATAGTCCTCTGCAGATATCTCTTGCACTTCTCCATACTTACACTTGCTAGCTAATTCTCTCATCTCTGCTATCCTCTTTTGTCGATATTCCTTCAGAACTCGTTCATCTTCTTCGTCTTCCAACTCATCTAACTCATCCAACGTTTTCTCTTCTAAACTGTTGGACGCTGCAAAATCCATGAACAGACAATAATATATTGACAAAAATTTAATAAAAATTAGACAAAAATTAGAGATCAAAAAAGATAATTATTACCACGTCCTGTTTTCTCATCTATTGTATTTTCCAAAAGATTTACTATTTGATCCTCAGTAATCTCATGTTCTTTCTTAGGTATGATACCTTTTTTCCTAAGAATATCGTTCCATTCAGTATCTTCATTTGGGTCTTGCTGAAATTGAAAATTCGACTTGAAACTATTTTCTGGATCAATATAAAATGCCAGAGTAATTGAGATTTTTTTTTTATAAAATGATACATTTAAAGATTTTAGTGTATCATGTACATAAAAAAAAAACCATCTTTTTGCCTACACAGTCCTGTTACCATATAAGGAATCACGTGTGACTAACCTCTACTTAACCTCTACTCTTCCCAAATATTTCGACTTTTATCAGTACTCACCATTTTGGAAAGTCGATATTAAACGTATCTATTTTATTTATTTGGAAATTAATAATATTTTCTATTATTTGCACATCAATCCCTTTGAATATACTCAATTATTGCAACGCACGATAGACCGACAGCGACAATTGATATATCTTCACTACACGTGTACACAAACTGGCAGGAATGGTGTCCTGCGCTCGGCGCGCGACCGCTACAAATACACACGAAGCGCGTACGTCCGTGTCTTCGCGGAGCGTAAAGGAGACGCGGAGCGGAGAGAAAAAATAGTGGGGGCAATTCGATGTTGCATCCTTAACGCAAAATGCGCGATCGAAAAAGAAGAAAAAGTATAACGGATGTGATACCGATTTCGGTGTCCCTTCGCTAGTGCGAGTGAGAGACCGCGGTGTCTCTATACGTCGCGTTTTTCTTTCTTCCATCTCGTTCTGATTAATTATTGATTATTTAATGATTATTTATTTATTAAATTGATTGTTTTAATATGATTATTAATTGCTTAATTATCGCGTAATAATTCTTTTATTATATATTTTAAAAAAAGTTATGTGTAAAATTATAACTGTCATTGCGGGTTTAGACATTGAATATCTTACATCTATTTGAAGCAGATTTTCTTTGCTTTTATAAAATTTTTTAAATAAATTTCTTATTACTTTACTTGTGATTTATATCACATGATACTTTATATCATATGATACTATTATATCATATGATACTTTAATTATGATTACTTGAGTATTAGTTCATTCTAATCCACATCGCCAAATATTACATATAAGAGATATCACAGGATATCTGAAAATATATATTTTATTATCTGATATAATTGTAAACATTTTTATTTAACATTTGATATACATATTTTAGAGAATTCTTAGAAATAATCTATCATATTTAAATAGCTATCGTTACTTTTGAAAACAAATTCAGGATGAAGTACATGACAAGATTGAAAGCATTTATGATTAATGTTTGTTTTGGCACTTCCTTAAAGGTTACACAGGTATCAGTCTTCATTTGTATATTGTGTAACTTGCGGTTAGCATTCTAATAACAGATTCTAGCAAATGTGAAAAAATTGTTTTTGATGTTGTACATTGTAAGTACATTATAATAAATACATAAAAATATATGTATTATATATAACTTATAGTAAATATACGTCAAATTGATTAAATAATAAATTAAAGATATTAATAGTTATATGTTTGCATCATGAATACACAAGAATAAATTCTTGATTAATCAAGAGAGGACCGCATATATGCCTACTATTACATATCATAATATAATATAAAATAAAGATAAATAACATGATAAAATAATAAATTTCGATTTCAATATGCTAAAATAGCTTTGTTACAAAAATATCTATCTACTTTCTTGACACGTATCGTTTGATTGCTGCTTCTTCGTTTCCACGGGAAGCGCGAGCGTAGCAATTGCAGCGCACAAAGCGGTTGTCGCGTAAATAATCATGGCTCCTGTGATGGACCATTGTAGAAATACTTGCGCTATGTACGGAGTAATCATAGCACCGATTCGCGCCATAGCACTACACGCGCTTATACCTATGCTTCGTAAATGTGTAGGATATACTTCCGGCGTATATACATATGCGGCTTGAAATACACCCGCGATTAAACCTCTAGCTAGAAAGACGGCAAATGTCAACACCGCTCTGCTCAACAAGCAGGTCCTGCCTAAGAAGCACACTACTATAGCAAATAGGACTAACTGGCAGGCCATTGTTTTTCGCCTGCCTATTTTCTCGATTGCAAAGACGGTAGAAAAAATGCCGGGAAATTCGGCCAATGTTGTCCAAAGTAAATCGATGTAGTCGCTACGTCGTAATCGACAATCTAGTTGGCATGTACCCTCATCGTTATTGGTGCCCCATGTACCACATTGTTCGGAGGATGTATGAAATAATTCGGTCGTCATTAATACCACTCCGTAATAACAGAACGCAGTACTCATCCTGCAAAATATGTATAATAGCGTATTTTTAAAATATATAAATATATTTCACTTGTCAGCTAAAATAAAAACTCAAAGATATCACTCAAAAATAAAACTACGAAAATATTACTAATAAATTTTAAATTTCTTTGAATAAATTTTGAATTTTTTAATTTTGCATCGTTTATACATACCAAACAAGCCAAAGTAAGGCAGAAGTTCGGCACATTTCTTTGCTTAATACATCTTTGAATCGACCATGATGAGCTTGATAAAATCGGTCCATAACTAGTCTTCCTAGAGGCAGTGATTTTTTATTCTCTCTTGCCACACGTTCTAGTGTCGTAATTGCTCGATCTATTCTTCCAGTTGTCATATCAAATACTGTAGATTCTGGCAGCCACTATGATATAATATATAATTAATTTCTAAAATATTTCTGAAGAGATTACATATATATCAAAAATATCTCAAATTATTACAAACCGGTGTTATTACAGCAAATATAAATAATGGAATGGACGATAATATAAGAAGCCATCTCCATCCAAGATTGGGCATAACAATTAATGCAATTGCTACCTCGAAACAAGCTCCAAGAGCCCAAAAACACTAATAAATATAAGATATGTATCTATTATATATATCTATTATATATATTATTGAAATACTTATGCTATAATCTACATATAATATATAAACTTACATCCAATAAAATAACGCATCTTGCTCGTTGCTTTGCTGGTAAAAACTCTGCATATAATGTCACTCTGCAGGAAAAAAAGAGTATCGATGATAACAGATTTCAAAGCAAACGTGTTTCTTGTTTTTAAGAAACTTACCAAATACTTACGATTGCGGTACACAACCAATAGCAAACCCTACAACTCCTCTAAGCAACAGGATCCAGAGAAAGTTTGGTGCAAATGAACTGAGAAATGCATAATAGGCCAATAGCACCGCGCACAAAGTTAAAGCCTGTTTACGACCGTATCTGTCGCTTAAATTATTCCAAAAAGTAGAACTTAACATCATACCGAGAAAAACTACCTAAAAATTCAATTCCCATAATAAATTTGTGCAACATTGTCATATATTTGTAAGAATAATCAAGCAAACCCAAAGATTACCGTTGTGGTCAGTGCTTGCTGGTATCTAGAAATACCCCAGTCACAATGTAAAGATGGACTTAGAATACTCAGTATTGTGATTTCCATACTATCTACCATCCAACAAAGACCCGTGAATAGAGATAATTTTACTTGAAACTTTCCAAAGCCTAAGGCATTGATGGCTTGTACCACAGTAAAAGTGTCTGCCAATGATATTTCAATATCACTTATAAATATATAATTCAGTATATCTCATCACATACTTATTACATTTCTTCATGCCATTGAATTATTTTACAGTTATGTTTATATTACAGTTATGTTTATAATTTTATATTCATATATATATATGTATACATAATAAAAGCAAATTGCTTCTTTAAACATCAGATGTTTTGTTTTTACAAGGTTACAGAAATATACACACCTAATTCCTTGCACACATGCATGTCTAATGTATATTGTTGTTAATAACAATGCTCTGTGTTACCACAATTTAACCTTAGCCATTAGTAAAACCAGCTTTCCCATTATTATGTTATTATACGGTATTAAATATTTACATTGTGGTCCTTCTTTCGTGTTAGGTAAATCCCTCTAAATAATTAAGACAGGTGATCAAAATACTGTGATATATTACATACTTCTACACTGTTTACATGCTCATAAGAGATTATAGTTTTAACGTAACATACCATCGGGTATAACCACAACAGAAGAGAGTTCCATCGATCGTTCGATACCATTCTCCAGGCTATGGGAGGTCGATGTACTTTGAGCACCAACATTTAGCTCGGCGCCATGTGATTCCTCTAATTGGCGATACGGTTCGTTAGATTTTTTATCCGGGCCCGACATGGTTATGTTCCTTGACGTGAATGCAGCATAGATACGTTCCTAGATATCCATCTATCGTCGATTTTCACCTGACAAAGACAAATGAATTGTTATCGATTTGGCAAGAAATGCTCGTTAATTTTGCATGGACCAAATATTCTTGCGTACAACCGCGTCACCGCAGGTAACTGTCGACCATTTTATAGGTTAACCTTTCGCATGCATAATTAATGCTTTCTACCTCAGTGATCAAGAATGCAGTTTAATCAAATTTCTGATCACGTCATTTTCCATTGCGTGAACGCAATTTACATTGTTTATCACAACTGACGAGAATAATTAAAAAGATAAATTAAACTAAAACTAAATAAAAAAAAAAATAAACTCTACCAAAAAGAGAGAGACAAAGAATGTTCAAGCTCTTAAACGAAGATAAATATTCTCGCTCGATATCTCACAAGTTTTGACAGATCGCAACAGCTGTTGTTTACATACTTATGGAAAAGATACGCAATCAAATGTCGCTTATTGATTGTCACGTATTTGTTTTCGCGTTTCTTGCACTTTCTACACTCGAATACATTTTTTTCCTGTGAACAAATTTTTTATTTCATTTTTTGCATCTAACTTCGAAACTTTTTTGTCTTTTTTTTCAACATCTAATAATTTAACATCTTTCTAATATTTATTAAAAGCTAATAAATTTATTCCTACGCTGCTAGTATTTTTTATACATACATTGTTTTAAGTGCAAAAAGTGTAAGTCAGCATAAGCAGAAACACATTCTGGTGTATTCTGCTTAACGACAAATGTGATTGGTCAATTCCAATCGGCCGATTAAATTAATCGAAGAGTGGGTGAAATTGACCCTAAATGCTGCAACAAACGATGTTTTTTGAACGTATTGATTGGTTACAAGATAGAGAACTTTTGGAGACTGGTAAACTTCACTAGCCTATAACCAATCAACACATTTCAAGAGTTCATGCGACAAACCAAATGAAAGCTAAGGTTAGGTCGAACTGTCTGTGAAAAAATTGAACGTCGTTGACGCGACGATGGTCCAGTGTGCGAATTAGATCGGGTGGTGTCGGGTCTATATTGGCGATCTTTCCACAAAAATGTCGCATCGACATGGTTTTAGAGGCATTCCACATTCCTTCGCGCGTCGTAACAGAGAAGGTAAAGATCGAAGTTCCAACGAGGAAATATCATCACTATTGTACGAGTGCCTTCTCGATTTTTATTTTCAGTGTGAAATCGTCATATTTTGAAAAAAAAAAAAAAACAATTAACATCAATTTTTCAAGTTCTTAGTTTCTTACTCATATGTAGTTTTTACACTTTCTCTTGTAAATTCTTTGGGATTATCAAATCATCATTAATAATAATCCAATTCAATTATCTAATCAATTATAATTTGAGTTTGATGAAATAACTTAGATTATATTTTAAAGTTTAACAGTTATTGTTTTGTTTATAGGATTTTTTATTTTTTATGAAATTAATTTATTTATAAAAAGAAAATTAATTTTATAGGACATTATAGCAATTATAATTTTAGTATCCAATATAATTTAATGTGAAAATTAGGCTTCCCTGATGGTACTAAGCAAAAGTTTTTTGTTAAATTAGTCTGTAATAATGTTTACTGTTATCAAGATAGATATTTAATTATTCATACCTAAAATAAATTGAAAATATTCTGTTTATAATTTTTTAATTCTTAGTGTTAAGTTTTCCATGAGTTAAAACAAATAAAATTTTTATCAGTATGTAATGTTCTTTAAATCTGATTATTTGTTTTTTAAATTTTAAATATTTTTGTTTTTTGAAGACTTGATATTTTGGCTTTAAACTAATAACCATATTCTATTTTTTTTATTTTAAGTATATATTATTATGTAATAAATATAAATTATATTAAAGAAAAAAAATATTAACACAATTCATTATAAACACAATTCATTATAAATTTTTTAGAACAGTCACAGTCATCTCCATCCCAACGTGGAATGGCACACAATCGAAGACCTCCTGGGCTAAGAGGAAAAGAAATAGGATTATATTACAGAAACAAAAATAGAGAGAGACAAAAGGAGACTTCAATGCTCAAATTTTCACATGAAGTACAGCAAAGAATTGAAGCTATATTGAACAAGTCCAAGAGCTTTTATGATTCATTTTCTCATGAAAATTCCAACCTTGGACATGACAAATATCATAAAATTCATGATATTCAATTTAAAAGAAAATTTTTAAACATTGTATATGGTGATATGCAGGAAAACATTGCCAAAGCTATGAATTTGACATCAAAGTTGCAAAGAAATAGTAACTTGGATAAAATATTACAAGATGAATACAAAGAAAAGCAAAGTCAGAATGATTATCAAAATATGTTGGCATTTCGATCAAAATTACCAGCATATAAAAAAAAATCAGAAATATTGCAGTTGATTGAAGATAATCAAGTTGTTGTTATTAGTGGGGAAACTGGTGAGTTGCAAAAATTATTTGCTTATATGGTAGATAAAACATTTCTATAATATTTATGGAATACAAAATTATAAATAAAGAAATTTGATTTTGAGTATCTTAAATTCAGGCTGATGCAATTTTCAAGTTTTGTTCTGGGAATTATTAGCGCTATCATGTTATTCTATCTTTATCTTCTTTATCGTACATTAGATGTAAATTAAGGATAGAATGACGCGATAGCACTGATAGCTTTTCGAGATACACTCTCAGCTGCTTGCATTTTGTTCTAATAATTAATCAATTATTAGTAATGATGGTTTTCTGAAAAAATTTCAGGCTGTGGTAAAACTACACAAGTCGCACAATTCATATTGGATGATGAATTGGAAACTGGAAATGGTAGCATTACTCGAATAGTTTGCACACAGCCTAGAAGAATCTCAGCTATTTCTGTTGCCGAGCGAGTAGCTGCAGAAAGAGCAGAGAAGCTTGGAAAATCTGTTGGTTATCAAATACGACTTGAAAAGTAAGTTTATATAAAATGTCTATATCATATATTATTTTAATAGCAAAATGTGACATTTTTTTAAACTACCTTGATGTCATTTGTGTATAGAATTTCCTCACGCGAACAAGGAAGCATATTGTTTTGTACTACTGGTATATTATTGCAATTTATGAAGATTGATCCAGCATTAAAAAGTTTCTCTCATGTAATACTGGATGAAATTCACGAGCGTACCACGGAAAGTGATTTTGTTATTACATTATTAAAACAAGTTATTCCAAAAGTAAGTTTTAATACTCTTAAAATTAATGTATGTTTGTACTCGGATTGCATATTGATTGCTTATTTAATTTATTTCTATTTATTTGTTAGAGAACAGATTTGAAAGTTCTTTTGATGAGTGCAACATTGAATGCCGAAAGCTTTTCAAAATATTATAACAATTGTCCAATGTTACACATACCAGGATTCACCTTTCCTGTAAAGGAATTTTATTTAGAAGATATTTTGTCACTTTTAGAGTAGGTATTGACATATTATTAAGATTATATGTATAGATATATTCATATATTCACATGGATTAATTTATGATTTTCGAAACGGAATATTTCATATTCTTTCATTTAAAACTATTAATTTTTTAATCAGCCTTTTATATAAAATGATTATATATATATATAAATTAAGGCATATACATAAAATAAAAATCTGGATTAAAATTAAAATCAATTACTGCAGCCATGCATTATTTCATATTAAAATTGATATATGATCAAAATTGATAATTATGACAAAAATTTTAATTAATTATTTGATATTAGCATTGATGCATGTAACAAAAATTTGAGTTAATTATTGAATAAATTTTTAGATGACTTGATTCTATATGTATGAGAAGATTAATATGAAAACAAAGTATATTTTTTTAAAACTTTTAGTCATAAATTTCCTGAGCCACCACCAGAACCTACAGGCTACAGGAAACATTTGAAAAGATACAAAGAACAACAACATAAGAAAGAAGAATTCTTAGATGTAATACAACCTTATGTTAGACAACTTATAGCTGAAGTAAATATGAATTATAATATTTTTTATTGTGCTTGAAATGGATTATATTTTAAACAAGTATAAAAATTATTTAAAATTGTATTATAATTTTTTTATATTAGCATATTTTATGTAATTACAGAAGAAACATGACATACGTGTTATTCAGCAATTACGGAATCCGCTTAGTGAAGATCTTTCATTGATTCTAATAGAAAAACTAGTTAGATATATTTGTAATACGAAAGATCCTGGAGCTATTCTTATTTTTTTACCTGGTATGATGGATATATCAAACTTGTGTAAAATGATGTTAGGGCCTGATTATCCAAGTGGTAAGTATTTCTATTATGAACACGATGCTATACCGAATGCAAATATATATCGTCTTTATATTTAATTTTAATTTATATGTTATGATATATATTAAATACTGAATTAACTAATCTTTTTAAATGAAATTGAATTCTTTTGCATCTTTGATTAATAACGTTACTGAGTTTGTAGCTATTTTGATATTGTCTGGTATATATTTTATATTTAACATTAAGATTATATATACGATTTTAATGAAAAATTAACAAGATATAGAAATACAAAAATGTTCTTTTTTTATAGACAAATACATCATTTATCCTCTTCATTCACGCATGCCTACAGTTGATCAGAAACTTATATTTAGAGAACCTCCTCGTGGCGTTCGTAAAATAATTATTGCAACTTCAATCGCTGAAACGTCAATAACTATAGAAGATGTTGTGTATGTAATAGATAGCGGAAGAACAAAGTTCGGAAAATTTGATGTGGAAAAAAATATTCAGACTTTAGAGCCTGAATGGGTATCCTTAGCTAATGCTAAGCAAAGACGTGGTAGAGCTGGCAGGTGTGATATCTTTAAAATTAAAAAAAAAAAGAAATACATTTTATTAAATTTCTATATAGTTAGAACTAAATAATTATATTATTTATGTTCTTTATAGAGTTAAAAGTGGGGAGTGCTATCATATGTATACAAAAGCTCGAGAAATGACATTTGCTCAATATCCATTGCCAGAGATGTTGAGAACACGCTTAGAGGAGGTAATTTTGCAAATAAAAATTTTGCAGCTGGGAAAAGTCAAACAGTTTCTAGCTACTGTCATGGATCCGCCAGATTTAAAAGCTATTCATCTGTCTCTCAATTTACTTGAAACACTTAATGCTCTTGATGAACATGAGAATTTGACTCCTTTGGGTTATCATTTAGCACATTTACCACTTGATCCCAGAACAGGTAATTTTATTGCGATTTTATTGCAAAGCTTATTTGTAATTTCAATGTAATATTTATAATTTGTTTCGTTATATGTTTCATTAGGAAAAATGATCCTATGGGGTGCATTGTTCTCTTGTGCCGAGCCAATATTTGCTATTGCTGCTAGTCTCACATTTAAAGATGCTTTTTATTGTCCACTGGGGAAAGAAGAAATAGCTAATAGTAAAAAGCTGGAACTTAGCATGGAACAATTTAGTGATCATGTTGCTCTCGCGGAAGCTCTAAGAAGATATGAAGCTACACGTCAAAGAGGAAATGCTCGCCAGTTTTGTCGAGATTATTTCTTGTCTTTTAATACACTGAAACTTCTTTCCGAAATGAAAACGCAATTTGCTCAATATTTATGCGAGATGAAATTTCTGGATAGCGAAAATCCGAGTGATAAAAATGCCAACATAAATTCGGATAACATAGCGTTAATAAAAGCCATTGTCTGCGCAGGATTATATCCTAATGTAGCTGTTGTAAGGTACAAATATTAATTTATTTTTGTTTAACTCTCTGTTTAACTAAAATACTATAATCTTATAATTTGCGTTGATGTATATTGATTCTAACCATTTTAGGAAAATTACTAAAAATGGACCAATTGCTTGGACGCCGGAAGATGGTAGCGTACGTATACATCCGTCGAGCGTAAACAGCAAAGTTCCCTCATTTCCTAGTCAGTACTTGACATACTTCACGAAACAGCGTTCTACTGCGATATTTTTACATGACACTACATGTATAAGTGTACCAATGTTATTGTTTGCCGGACAGAATATGTCGATAAGTAAATATAAATTTTCCATTTTTTAACATGTTCATTATTTAATTATATATTAATGATATATTAATACATATGTGATAACATATAACATATTTCAGGGCGAGAAAGAGGATATTATGTAATTAATACATTGAATTTTTCGGAAAATATTATTTGTGAATCGAACACTGCGGAAATGATACAGGTACATAATATATGCACATTCTTAGAGGAAATAGAAGATACATTATTTTGTAATAATTTCTCGTAATGCAGGAACTTCAACGTGCTCTAAATAGTTTACTGGAATATAAGATTACGAATCCAGCAATGGTATCTTGGTCAACTTTCGAAGGAGATTTGTTAAAGTAAATCTATATATGATTATTTATCGTAAATGAAAATTAATAAGTACAGTTTTTATGAATATGTAACAAATTTTTGTGCATTATATTACAGTGCAATCATCCAACTGGTATCTCAGACAAATCAAGAAATGGGTTTTGATAATATGCGCGAAAATGCATCTTTGGACGAAGATTCTACTGATGAATATTGATTAATTGTTCATTAATATATTATAAATATTAATTTATTCAATGGCTTTGATATTATTGTTCCGAAATATAAATAATGTCGAAAAATTTATTCTAAAAAAGCTGTTTCTCATCGATTTTTAGCTTTCGTAAAATATTACTTTTATTATCAAATAGCATACAAGCAAATATAAATGTACCAAAAATGACAAAAATAAATATTTAAATGTAATTGTATATATATATATATATATTCAACGACATACGATAATGATTGACGTTAAATAATAATCAAGAGTAATCATCATTTAAATTATTACCACATAATATATACATATCTTGTGGCCTCAATCCTAGTAGTACAAGATTTTAATATATAAAAGAGAAAACGGTCATAACGCGATCAATATCCCTATTCTAAAAATATTTCCCGATTCATACAATCTAAAATAATTTTTTAGATAATATGCAAGGCTATAGAATATATTTAATTTTAATACAAAATATCTCTATCGTTCCGAAATAATCGATTGTACAAAATGTCAAAATGTTACAAAAATGAAAACGAGAAAAAAGATTGAAAAAAGAAAAAAGCGATATATTAAAAATATTAACAAATTACAATTAGATGAATCTTTACTAATTAAAAAACGAATCTACTAATATATTTGAGAACAGGTTTAGAACGTTTAACGTTTGAAAGTTTCTAAAAAAAGATCAGAGTTCTCATTATATTAAAAATAAAGACTAAAGTATAATTTTTTAAGATCTTTATACATTCGAAGAAATAAAAACGCATCATTTGTCACACATATTCTACCCATTCATGATAATTAAATATTTGGGAATCACGAGAGAGAAAAGCGCGGATGCATGGATTCTTTGTCTTCTGATGAAATGCGAAATGTTTGAGATTCACGAGCCTCGAGAAACGCAAAAACACTGATTGACTATTGATTTTGTACGTATAAACGACAATATTCTAAAATGTTTACAGCCGCGTGTTTAATCGTAAGCATAGCCGAGCGACAAGCGGCAGCTGCCATTTTTCTTCCGTCGTCCATCCACGTAGGGTGACGAGTTTCGATCGGGTTATCAACGGGAATTGTTCGCAGGAGATTACAACGTGAGACGACCTCGCACGCGATTCCTTGGCGCAACGAGCACGTGGACTTTTGACCCGCGTCCATACTTCGCGCGCATCATCAATAAAACACTACCTTTCCAGTTTCTCCCTGCCTCGTCGCTTCGCGCCGAGGCTTTTGTCATTCATGAACGTAGAACGTACTGCCGTTTCCTCGGCGCTCATTCGCTTCCACGGGCGGCACGGGGATGGACATTCCCTTCGTCGCGCGGCTCGAAAATGCACGATATGATTTACGAGGAGCAATTAATATCTGAGATACCGAGGGTCGCGACTTAATAAATATCGTACGGCACTTTTTTACGAAGCCGCGAACCGCCTTCTCGCACCGTTCGCTTTCTTTATCTAATCCACCGCCGCAATAATGCAGAATGACTCCGCAATCCCGGAATCATTATCTTTCTCTTTGAGGAAAACCGATTTTTTTTTGTTTATTCACTCACAGACACTTACGCACACGTGCGCGCGCGCGCGCGCACGTATGCATCCCTCCTCCTCCTCTTTCTCCTCTTTCTCTCAGATATTTCGTCGGTGTATTATTTAAAGAATGAACCGAGAAACTCGGGGAAGTCGTGGCTCTCCTTCCCGCGTTTCGGATTTTATTTCCGCGCCTGCGGGCATCCTTAATTGAAAGGATCGCTCCCAGGATACCTGGAATAAATATTACTACACTCGGAGGGGGAGGAGGGGGGTGAGACTTAGGGATCATCTTCCCGCGCGCCGCGCTCTTTTCGATTTTCCTGTAGACACGCGGCATCATCGCTGCGCGTAGTGAGAAAAAAAACACGAGCCCGAGGACTGCGGTCTGGCACGAGCTGATAGCCGGCGACGCGAGAGTGGCAAGAGGAGCGAGAGAAAGAGCGGTAGCTCGCGCCGAGGGGGTGGCAAGAGGAGAAGTGGCGGTCGCGCGACGGCGGCGGAGGGAGGCCGCGGATACGCTCAGGCCGATACATGGAGCGCGTAGCGTCTGATTCAGTCTACATTCGACCGTCGCGCGCGTCGTGCCGCGAAGTCGTGTGGTCGAGTCGAGGTCGGGTCGGGATTGAGTCGAGCCGAGTCGAGTCCGAGTCCGAGTCCGAGTCACCCCACGGCAAACGAAACGAGAACGTGAAAGGGGGACGTTCGACGGGTGGTCGGGACCGATCGGGTGGTGTGACACGTAATAAATAAACAGGAACCGGGGGAGGGGGCCGACGGACGCGAGCCGCAGGTTCTTATCGGGCTTGACGGAAAAGGAGGTGAGAGGATGTGAAGTTTGCCGCGGATCGGAGAGACGAGAAGTTTTCGGTGCTCTTTTTCCACGTCGGACTCAGAGGTGTTAGGACGGGACGATCTCGGACGAGAGTAAAATGAAAAGTTGTAACAGCCGGGCATAGGGGATAGAGGATAACGCCGGAGCGGGCAGTGGACACCGGCTAATTCGTATTGCTGGGGAAAAGGGAAGAGAAAAGAAAAGGGGAAAAAACGAGAGGAAAGAACGTGATACGAGTGCGCGCGAAGTGCGATCGACGCGGGAGGAGGGAAAAAAATCGAGCGATAAATATCGAGCCGGCTGAGAGCTGCGAGCGCGTAAGAAATAAGAATACCGGCGACGCGCGAGCGAGTAAATATACGCCGGCTGAGGTATTGTAATTCGGTGTGAGAGAAGGGAGTCGACCGCGCGCCAGGAAGGACACGAACGGGTCCTCCGGTAATCCGCGCGGGCGGACAGAAACGACCCGAATCCAGGGATCCAGATGACGTGCGGCGGCGGATTCGCGCGAATCCGCCCGCGAGAGGAGTCTGTGACATGCCATTAGCCGGCGCGCGGCGCGGCGCGCGGTAATGTTTATGAGAGTGGTGGTGCGCAGAGTGCAGGAAGCTGGTAGCGGACTGGACGCGAGACGCAACTCGCGCTGGCGACTTCACGCTCTTGCGACAGGTGCGGGTTATTGCGGCGCCGGCACCATCGTCTCGCGCGGCGATAATAACGCGCGCGATTGTCATTACCCCGGCCGTGGGGCTTGCACCACCGTCGCCGTCGCCGTCGCCGTCACCGTTGTCCAGGAACAACGTCTCCCCCGTGTCGTCGTCGTCGTCGTCGTCGCCTAAAAAAATCGTTTCGCAAGACACGCACCGAAGTGCTACAAAGAGGCCTGCACCATCCAGATGCAGATGCACGCTCGCGTGCTCCGAGAGACCCGAAGGTGAAGATCCGCGGCGAGGGAAGAGAAAACACGGAAAACAGCGTAAGATTTTTCTCTCTTTCTCTCTGTTTTTTTTTTTTCGCTTTTTTTCTTTTTAATCAACAACAGCGCTAACCGAGAGAGCGCCGCTGCTTCTGTCGCGCGGTCTCGCTCGTCTCGTTCCCGTGCGTTCGAGAACAAGAGGAGGAAGACTTGACGTCACGAGTGGCGAAATGAACGGAGAGAGCGCGCGTCTCGGGACGGCTACGACGAAACGAAGAGACGGGCAGAAACGCGCCTCCCGAGACAGCCGGCCTGCTCTCGTTTCTCCCGACGGGAAAAATTGCATCGGAAAATCGAATCGGCACGCGAGCGCCGCGCGCTTGTGTGAGTCCGTGTATGTGTATGCGTCGTGTTCGCCCGTGTTCGTACGCGCGCGCGCATGAGAGAGCTCATGTCGGTGAGAGCGGGTCAGTGAACGATTGCACGCCGCCGCCTCCGCCGCCGCTGCCACCGCCGCTGCCACCGCCGCCGCCGCCGCTGCCACCGCCGCCGCCGCCGCCGCCGCCGCCGTT